TGGGAACGGCTGTGGAAAAGAGATATCAAATTTACGGGATGCTATAATTTAAGAGAGAATGTAATGAAAATGCAATACAGATGGTACCCGACCCCGGCCAGACTGGCAAAAATGTACAAATACTGTAGTGATGTCTGTTGGAGATGCAACAATGGGGCAGGAACCTTTCTACATATGTGGTGGGAGGGCAAAGGGATAGTAGGATTCTGGGAAAATATCTATAACGAACTGAAAAAGATGTTTAGATTTTCATTTGGGGGAAAAAACCAGAATCCTTTCTCCTAGGCCAAAGGTAATAAAAAGAACGGTCAGACCAATATTTATGTATGCAAATACGGCGGCAAGGTTATTGATTGCCAAAAATTGGAAAACCAGCAGCGCCCCAACTAAAACAGACTGGTTATCTAAAATGATGGAATACTTCCATATTGCCAAACTAACAGGGAGGATAAGAGGAGATATGGTACAAAAAGTGAATAAGGAGTGGGCTACACCAAAATTTATGTGGAAAAAGTAGAATTTCTGACAGATATTGAGTGAATCCAGAAAATGATTAGTGAAAAGAAAGTTAATATAGAAGTTGAGATTAAAGAAATAATTAAATGCATTTAAGCTAGTTGGAAAAATAAAGTAGCGTAACAAGAACAGCTGGAAGTCAAGTCACTTGCTGGGTGTCTGTGTGGGGTAGGTGTGTAGGTATGTTGGTATGTATAGTATAGGTAGGTATTATATAGAGTAATGTAGGTATGTTTTATGTTATGAAAATAAGGTAGTGTGTTGTGTACGTGTATTGTGTAAATGTATATGTACGTGTTTTATGTGTTAATAAAATAAAATAAAATAAAAAAGGAATCTAGACCTGTCCATCAAGGGCTAGAGTCTCACAGAATGCTCCAGTCAGAGTGCTTGCAGAGAGGAACAGCATACACAAATAGTTTATCTCTGTTTCTTCTTTATTTGTTTAACATGATGCTGTTTTGTTTGATTTATAACTCCAAATGTATATTTTTAATTCATCCTTTTTAAAAACCCAGAGTCCAGTTTTGAAGGGGGAAACATGCTTCCTCTTAATTTACAAGTATTGTCTTGTGTGAGACTGTGTTCCTATATTTTTCTGTGTGTCTAAATATCACACAGTTAATTTATCATAGTTCTTTGGGAGCACTACCCAATTTTAAGCATCAGAGTCTGTTTGACTTGAAACCTACTCCAGTTGATTTAAATTGCCTACATTCAGCACTCCTTTTGAAATCCTAATTGTATTTTTACAATATAGTATCATATATTGATACAGTTCTTTTGCAGTATATGGGATCTCAGGGGAGGGGATGACACGTCATACTCCTTCTGGGGTAGTCTGACCACCTTTGGTCCCCACCTTGCACTCAGTTCTCACCTGCTGTCCTGGACTAGCTGGATGAAAAGGAATGGTGGGAGGCACCCAAGGGAACCCCCAGAGGAGGCAGGCTCAGATCTAGGGGATTGGTGGTGGGACACTGAGGAGCAGTCAAAGGGAGAAGACAGGGAAGAGGTGTCAGATGCCGAAGGGGCAACAGGATTTAGTGAGCGGGAAGAACCTGTGATAGGGAGAAGTTCAGACTCCCCCTCCTGCTGTGTCCAGCTTCCCTCCCCTCTCCCCACCCGTTCTCCCAGTACACGCAGAGAAATGAAGAGGGCGGAATACAGATTAGTTGTGTACAGACATAGTTTGAGACTGCTTGGGAAACATCCTGGAGAGGGGGAGCTTTAACGAGGGGAGGAAGGTGGGGACCTTCAGTCCCGGCAACTTCTCCATAGGGGAAAGACCTGCTGGAAAGGGTTGCTGAGGCCACATGGCCAAGCTGTATTTTTGTTTCCCTGAACAGAGTTAATTTCACTGGCACAGGTGAATTGCTGCCATTATTGCTGACCTGCACTTGACTCCTATCCTGACACCCCCAGCTCCTAGAAGCTGTTAGCCTATGACAGCGACCACACCCCAGAAAACAGCTTGGGCTGGTTGGCTAAACCAGGTAAGGATAGCCAATGGGTCCCAAACCCTCAGTGAGTTAGGAACTTCCCCGGCATGCGAAGACAGGCTTAGGTGGATTGAGTGGACAAGACCAATAGTGGGTTAAACCGTCAAGCAATAGAATGCTTTGTTCAATTTCAGACAGAAAAAGTGGAGGGACAATTGGTGCCATGTAGCCAATCCCAACACTCTTTTTCAATTGGTGTTGATTATATGCGATTCACATAAGTGTGCTGTGCCATGGAACATAATCCCTCCACAAAACAGTTGCTGCTTGTGATGCAAAGCACAGGCTCTAGCTAATGAAGTTTGAGGTTATATGTAATAATGAATACTTAGCAGAGGTGGGTGAGAACTAGAGGAAATGCTCACATAGCAAGTTCAGGTGGATGTAGCTTGAACCATTGAAAAGACTCCTTGCATACTGCAGTTTATTGTTCTGTGGGCTGGAAACCAGGAAAGCAATTTTCCTCAGAAGTTTGGCCTCTCTAATTCATAAGCCTACATTACCGAGCATGATGACATTTTTAAACCATTAAGGATCTGTTGTATTTCTACTACTATTTTACATTTTTCAGTAATCCTTGGTAATCCCAGAGAGACACAGACACTTTTTGTTCATATTTATACATCACCTTTCAGGTGTTTGGGTTTTTTTAACTATACAAGGGTAGCTTACATAATTATGATAAAACACATTTAGAATAAGACCCAATGTTAAACACAGCAAGCAACAGCAGTGACAAAATCCAGCAGAAGCAATAAAACAATGGCAGCTGCACAAGAGCAGCACATCACATTTCGATGCCTGAGGCAAAACATCAAAGGTGCTGCCCGGCTGCTACTACCACCTCCTTTACCTGGGTTGTGTGGCAGTGCCTGCAAAGCAGCACTGACAGCAGTAGGTTCCAGTGAGATCTTGCGGCGCTCACGTGAGATCTCATGTGGTTTCCCCACCAGCAGGGGTGCTTGGGGTTCTGCCACCAAAGGTGGCTGCCTCAGCCTGCCTGATGTGCACATCTGCCTTACAGCCTCAGCAAAATGCTGACAAATTAAAAAATCTGCTTGTGCCAGAAGGACATCAAATTCTGCACTAGGCACACCCTCCCCACGAGGGGAATACACCTCAAGGTACCACCGCCAAGAAAGCCCTTTGCTCTGTCACCACCCACCTAATTTCAGTGGCTAGGGGACCTCAGAGAGGAAGGCCTTGTATGCCAAACATTAAGTTCAGGAAGCCTCGTGCTGCCCCTGGATCTTACCTGATGAGATCCCTTGCCAGGTTGCAGCCTAGGTGGGTCAAAACAGCAGCACTACCACCTTAAACGTGTATGAAAAGGTTTGAGAAAGAGTCCCCCAATTCATGTGTGGGTTCAAGGTGGCTGAAGATTGCTGCTGTAATAGGAGGCATCAATGTCTGAGATGGTTTAAAAGTGAAGCACTTTGATTTGTGCCCGAAAGCAGAACAGAAGCTGAAGTACTTGTTTAAGTGGGGAGTTATGTCCTTAGTGGCCAGCTCCAGTAGGAGCCAGCTGTTGTATTTTACAGTAACTTACATTTCAAAAACAGCCCCAGCCATACACTACTCTGGCTTTCCCTGTCAAGGATGGGTGCTACAGAAGCCTCTTAGGCCTCAAGTGACAGCGCTCAATGAGGGTCTCCAAATCCAAGACTTGGGGGAAAGGCCACCCCCAAAGCAGTTTGCCTGCCACTTTCCTAGTCCGAAAACCCACCAACAGAGCCTCCAAGTCTGGTTCTTGTCTCCAGGGCCATCTTTAGCATATGCGCCGCCGGGGTGCAAAGATCCGCCCAGTGCCCCCAAATTTAGTTTAGCGAAGCTTCAGTCGTGTCAAAGGTGCCGCTGCCCCCGCTGCCGCATAGCAGCTCAATACAATACGTAACATGATATTTCGATGTAAGAGTTAATTTCGCGTGCATGGCGCTGTTGAGAATGGTGAGCGCCGTTTTTGAGTCTGACAAGCGCTGCCGTTGTGAATGATAAGCTTGCGCATCTTTGGTAAATGAGCACACAAAGTCGAAAGTCCTTGAGTGAAAGAGTAGGTATACATTTCAGTAATACCTAGGTATATATATGTACTTTGTTTTTCTAGCTTGATCAAAATTATTTATTATTTCATAACAGGTAGATAGTTAAGAGGTTAGGTGGCTTCAGCGGTGGGTGCCTGGCGCCCCCCAGAATTCAGTGCCTGGGTGCCCTGCACCCCTGGGTAAAGACGGCCCTGCTTGTCTCCAATCCATTACTGATCCAGACGTCTCCAAAACTGGAGCTGACAGTGAAGTGGCTTCAAAGTTGTTCCACCAGTGCCCCTCGCAGAGGGTCTTTGTGCCACAGGCGCACACAACTGCGTCTGGACCACTCGTGGTGGCAATGGGGGAAATGCAGCCAAGTGGGATTCTACAGGGAACCAGATTCACACAAGTAGGACCGATCATTTGGAAACATGCCGAGAACACGGGCCACCTCAGCAACCCCGGAAAGCTTTTCCTTATCCTATCTACATCCACATATCGCAAAAGTCTAGCTAGAGAGAAAAGGCACGAAATCGAGACGCTCTGCATGTTCCCGGCGGCACGCAGACCGTCCCGGGTCAGCCGCCGCCTCGAAGGGGCGAGAGGGCTCCCCGGGCGGAGCGCCTGCTCCGCAGCGAGGTCGCACACAACCTACTACTCACCGCCGCCGCCGCTTCGGCCGCCCAGCGCCGCTCGAGGAGGAGCAGCGGCAGCAGCAGCAGCGCAGCCAGCAGGAGCGCGAGCGGCGGATCCCGCGCGGGGCGGCCCATCCTCGTCCTCCTCTCGCTGCCGACCCTGACGCTCGCACGTGCGCCGCGGCCCCGATCCTGCGTCCGCCTCCGGCGCCTGCCGAGGAGGAAAGGCGAGCTCGCCGCCCGGCGCCGCTTGTGCGCTGCCCAGGCCCCGCCCCGCCGCCCCGCCCCGGGGGCCGCGGGGGGGGGGAGGCGCCAGCCGCTGGCCGAGGGCCGCTCCCGCCGCACTCCGGACCGCCGCCGGCCGAGAGGCGCGCAGCTCCGGGCGCGCGAGGAGGAGAGCGAGGGCAGGTGAGTCCCTGCCCCGAGCGGCGCCAAGCGCGGCGCTCCCTCTCGCGCAGGAGCCGCCGCCGCCCGGGAGGGCGAGGGGGAGCGGGGAGGGAGCGGGGGTCCCTCCCGGCCGGCCCTGCCCCGCGCGGCGGCCCGTTGCCCTTCTCACGCGCGTGTCGCTCCTCAGTCTGCCTCGCAGGGCGCCTTCCCGTGCGCGGATCCAGAGACGAGGATGAGGCGCCCCCCGCCGCTGCGCGTCGCCCGCCCCACTGGCCGGTAAGTGGCGCCTTCCCCGGGGAGAAGGGCCGCTTTTCAGGCTCTCGGCAGCGCCCGGGACGGCATGCGCTGTAACGATGGCAATTTTGTCTTTTTGTGTGCAGGGTTTCACAAATCACGCTCTTTCTGGGATTGGTGCTGCTGCTTAGTGGTAAGGTGCAAGCTGTAAGTAAAACTTATTGGAAGTGCGTTTCATTTCTATCCCCGCGAGTAACTTCTTTAGAATTAAGCTATTGCCAAAACACTGTCATTGCCCTAGCTTTTGAGGAAAGTGTTTTAATTTGTTTTATAAACGGGAATGTTCAGTATGCTTTCTGCTATAGAAGAGTTTGGGATATATTTTTATTTATTTCTGTTCAAAAATGCATGCCTACATCATTTTATTTGTATGCCTCCTTTCCATTGTTAAAACCATGCTCAAAACCCTATTTTTAGGCTTGTACACATGATGTGACTTAAGGAAACGAAAAAGTGACTTGTGTGATTTGCTTCCTAAATGTATTTAAGATGGCTGGGTTAGCATCTTTTCGCTATGTGTGCATATTTGTGCCCTGCATTTAGAGTTTATGCAGAGATTTCTAGGCATACCTGTAGTTATAAAAGTTAATTAAGAGATCTTCCCATTGGCTAAACACACTCATCAGTGGAGGTGCCATTCACACTTGAGCTTAGCCAAAAGCCCTTTCTCTTTACACCTGGAGTTTCAGTCACACCCCTAGGACTTTGGATCAATTCCTGTGATTGTTTAGTGGAAGGTGCAAAGGGGACTATCTGTGGAGCTGTATTTGTCATTGGGAACGCTGATACCAGAGAGTTCCCATACAACATTTCCTGTCTTCTGCTGAACACATGGCAGAGGGGGTATGCACAACCCTGCTCCCCCTTTCTGAGTTGCATGCATGGGGTTTCCTAGGATCAAAGCCCCATTTTAGTAGCGCTAGATAAGAAGTAACTGGGGGTGAGGGCAAGACATGAAGATGACCATCTAGGGCTTCTGTCCCTTAAAATTCGGGTGGTGAAGCTTTTCTCAGCATTGCAGCTGTGTGTTTATTTGGTTACCAGTGTCATCCTCAGGGCTTTTTTTCAGCTGAAACTCACCAGAACTCACTTCCAGCACCTCTCAGGTGAGTTCCGGCATCTCTCAGGTGGGCACCATTGCCAGTCTAAGAGAAAGAGGTAATGGTGAGTTCTGGCACCTCTTTTTCTAGAAAAATAGCGCTGATCATACTAGTATTCGTATCAGCTTGATTCCTGTTTGAACCTGGTGTTTCTTACTGGCATTAAAAGTGATGTTTCTCTTTGTTTCCCTTCCCATTTAGCACTGAAAGTTTGGCTAAGCTAAATATTTTGAGCTGCTCTTGTACAAATATAAATATGTTTATAAATGAACTCTTTCTGAATTCTTCATAGTTTACTTACCATGACTCTTTTTTATTTTGTTCACTGCTCCTGCCCCATGAAATGGGCACACAGCATGGAGCCAATATAGGCATGCTGCTAAAGGAGCCCACATGCTGCTTCAGTACATGGGGCTGTGTACTGTTGCCCAAAGACAGGGCCAGCCCAAGATATTTGGGCACAAATTGGGCCATGCCCTACCAGGGAGGAAGGGGTGAGTGGAAATCTCCATCAGGAAGTAAAGGGGGGGGGATAAAGACCTATACTGGGAACAAGGGGATGAGTGGAGATCAACATTAGGAACAAGATTTACCCAAAGGTTGAAGTGGGAATCTAAGGCTGTTTGCGGGGGCGGGGAAGGAAGGGGACCACTCTGAATCAGCTTGGCAGGGGCAGAGTCCAGGAAACTTCAGAAGGCAGCCCCCACCATTTCCTCCCTGGGGGTGGGGGGAGACCAGCGGTGCCTCCTATTTGCCAAGAGGCTGCTGTAGAGGTGGCATGGCGGGGACTGCCAAGGTGATGGCAAATCTGGCCTCCAAGGACTGTGTAGATCTCCTGCCCCTGTGGATCCTGCCACCAGAGGCAGCTGCCTCACCTTGCCTCATGTCTGCTCATGTCACTGCATGAAATGAAGTGGAGCCCTGTATGCTAAGAGGGGCAGAGCGGGATTCCAATGCAGGAAAGCATACAGAAGTGGTTTTTCATCCTGCAAGGAATACTTGAGTAGTAAGCTGGTAGCCTGTGAACTCCGTTCTTGCTACCTCATTGCCTTCTAACTTATGGCAAATTCTTTTTGTTTGTTTGTTTATTCAAGAAATACAAAATCCATATACATGAAAATAAAAAACAACAATTTACACCCGTGTGGCTTCCCTCCACCACAACTCAACATCTTTTATGTTATAAATACTTTAACATTGTGTCTTGTAATAATCAATATATATCCATCATTAATTTTACCTTCGTTTGAAACATCTTTATATACTTATTCTATGCATATCAATATTTTATTAGCACAGTGTTTTTTCATATAGTCCTCAAAACATTGCCATTCCTTCCTTAAATTCTGGTTGGACTGATTTCTTATAAAGGTAAAGGTAAAGGTACCCCCGCCCGTACGGGCCAGTCTTGACAGACTCTGGGGTTGTGCGCCCATCTCACTCAAGAGGCCGGGGGCCAGCGTTGTCCGGAGACACTTCTGGGTCACGTGGCCAGCGTGACAAAGCTGCATCTGACGAGCCAGCGCAGCACACAGAACGCCGTTTACCCGCGATTTCTTATAGCTGCCGTTAATTTAACCATTCTTATGAATTCACATACTTTACTTATCCAATCTTCCTTAGTGGGAATAATGTCTCCTTTCCAGTTTCTAGCAAGTGGCTGTGGAGTATAAAAATAGCCTTTTCTTACCCTGTGGGATGTCATTTCCTATAATGCCCAATAGAAACGCCTCAGATTTCTTTTCTATAGAGCTTTTGAACATCTTTTTTAATTCATCATGAATACACCCCCAGAAACTTTTAACTTTCTCACAGCCCCACCATACATGAAACATTGCCACTCTGCTTTATTACATTTCCAACATAGATTGGATCTTAGTTTATAAATCTTGGCTAGTTTGGAGGGTGTCATATACCACCTATATAACATTTCATCAAATTTTCCTTGATGGTGTAACAGGCAGTAAATCTGATGTCTGACCTCCACTGTCTTTCCCACTGTTCCATCTATATTGTGTAGCCGATGTCCTGGGCCCATTTTACCATAACATCTTGTACTTGCTCATCTTTCAGGTTCCATTCCAGTAATAGGTTATAAATTTTTGATAATAATTTCTTATTGTTTTTTAATAATACAATTTGTAATTTAGATTCTTCTTTTCCGAAACCTATTTTTTTATCCAAATTAAATTCATTATGTAGCCGGTGGTATTGGAGCCAATTGGTGAGGTAATGCCTTGTCTCCTCAAATGATTTTAATTTCAGATGCCCTTGCTCTTCTTTTAGTAATTGGCTGTAAGTTGCCCAATTACTTTCCATATTTATAATGCCTCTAATGGGAATAGCCACCATGGCGTCTGAGGTTCTAATAGTGGTTGATATCTGGCCCACACCTTGTAAAGGGCATTCCTAACTATATGGTTAGTAAACCCACTGTGGACTTTGACCTTATATTATAACCTTATATTATGGCATGCCACCCATATCTGTTGTAGCTTTCCAAGTCAAGTAGATCTGTTTTCTCTAATAAAATCCAGTCCTTTATCCAAGTTAGGCACACTGCCTCATAATACGTTCTTAAATTTGGTAGGGCAAAGCCCCCTCTCCGTATAAGAAATTATACGTCAATATTTTATGTTTTATGCGCAGTTTCTTATTCAGCCAGATAAACCTTGTCAGGTCTTTTCTCCACCTATTGAAACATTCCATTTTGCCTATGATCGGGATCATTTGAAAAAGGAAGAGCTTTTTGGGACACACTATCATTTTTATTACCAAAATTCTTCCCCAAAATGAAAGTTTTAACCTAGTCAAAATTCCCAAATCTTTTTAAATTTCTTTCCAGATTTTGTTATAAGGTAAAGGTAAAGGTACCCCTGCCTGTACGGGCCAGTCTTGACAGACTCTAGGGTTGTGCGCCCATCTCACTCAAGAGGCCTGGGGCCAGCGCTGTCCGGAGACACTTCCAGGTCACGTGGCCAGCATGACAAACTGCATCTGGCGAGCCAGCGCAGCACACGGAAACGCCGTTTACCTTCCCGCTAGTAAGCGGTCCCTATTTATCTACTTGCACCCAGGAGTGCTTTCGAACTGCTAGGTTGGCAGGCGCTGGGACCGAACAACAGGAGCGCACCCCGCCGCGGGGATTCGAACAGCCGACCTTTCGATCGGCAAGCCCTAGGCACTGAGGCTTTTACCCACAGCGCCACCCGCGTTGTTATAGTTTTCATCAAAAAGATTTATATTTTTCATTATTATTTCAGTTCCAAGATATTTTGCTTTTTTCACTATCATCAAACCCGTTTTTTCCTGTAGTTCCTTTTTTTCTTGTTCCCATAAATTTTTAACCATTAGCTTTGTTTTTGAACTGTTAAGTTTAAATCCGGAAACCTCCAAATGCTAATAATTTTTCCAACACTTTGGGTATACAGTGGTACCTCGGGTTAAGTACTTAATTCGTTTTGGAGGTCCGTACTTAACCTAAAACTATTCTTAACCTGAAGCACCAATTTAGCTAATGGGGCCTCCTGCTGCTGCTGTGCTGCCGGAGCATGATTTCTGTTCTCATCCTGAAGCAAAGTTCTTAACCTGAAGCACTATTTCTGGGTTAGTGGAGTCTGTAACCTGAAGCGTATGTAACCTGAAGCGTATGTAACCCGAGGTACCACTGTACTCAATTTTGGATCTTCTACTGTGATGTTTAAGTCATCTGCAAAAGCTTTCACTTTGAAAGCCTTTTGGCCAAGGGTAATCATTTTAATTTCTTCTTCTTTCCTCAGCACCGAATTGAGTATTTCCAAAGTCAATATGAACAGTAGAGGAGAAAGTGGGCAGCCCTGTCTTGTACCTTTTTCTATTGGTATATATTCTGTTTTTGCAGATTATTAGGTTGGCTTTCTGTTTTTCATAAATAGCTTTTATACCTTTGGTAAACTGATCTCCCATTATAGCCAGATCAATAACTTTCCTTAAGAATTTCCATGATAAATGATTGAAAGCCTTCTCGGCATCCACTAACATGAAAGCAGCTTTTTTGTTTGGCTTTAA